TTCAAAATATACTAAGAAAGCGAAAATCCAAACTACAGATGTTGAGAAAATATTTATAAAACATATGTCCAACAAGGAACTATTATTTAGAATAATAATAATTAAAACCAAAACTAAAACCTCTTATAACTCAATATAACTCAATAAGAAGACACACAACACAATTAAAAGTGGACAAAAGATTTGAACAGACACTTCACTAAAGAAGACATGTATGGCAGATAAGCATATTAATACTCATCATTAGTCTTTAGTGAAATGGAGATTAAAACCACAATGAGATTATACAACACATCCACAAGATTGACTGAAATTAAAAGGAGTAACTGTAGCAAGTTTTGGCTAGAATGTGGAAGAACTGGAACTCTCATTTACTGCTAGTGGGTATATTAAAAGGAGCAGCTACTGCTCTGTCTCCCCTAGGCTGGAGCACAGTGGTGCAGTCATAGCTCACTACAGCCTTAACTCCTGGGTTCAAGTGATTCTCCTGCCTCAGCCTCCTGAGTATCTGGGACTACAGACACCACCGTGTGTGTGTGTGTGTGTGTGTGTGTGTGCACGTGTGCGTGTTTGTGATAGAGTCTTGCTCTGTCACCCAGGCTGGAGTGCAATGATGTGATCTCATCTCACTGCAACCCCTGGCTCCTGTGTTCAAGTGATTCTTCTGCCTCAGTCTCCCAAGTAGCTGGGATTACAGGTGCCCGCCACCACGCCCAGCTAATTTTTATATTTTTAGCAGAGATGGGGTTTTACCATGTTGGTCAGGCTGGTCTCCAACTCCTGACCTCAGGTGAGCCACCTGTCTTGGCCTCCCAAAGTGCTGAGATTACAGCTGTGTCTTTGTTTAACTTTTATTTTTGTAGAGACAGGGTCTCAGTACAGACTGGTCTTGAACTCCTGGGCTTAAGTGATCCTCCTGTCTTGGCCTTTCAAAGTGCTAGGATTCCAGATATGAGCCACTGCACTTGGCCAGCAGTTTCTTAGAAAGCTAAACATACACCTACTATATGATCCAGCCTTTCCACTTCTAGGTGGAATGAAAGTATGTGCCTGTGAAAACTGAAAGTAATTGTCTCCATGTGAATGTTCCCAGCTTTGTTTGTAATAATGCAAGAAAGCAGTATATACTATTAGCACAATTATGTTCTTTTAGCATAAGGAACATGTTTGCTTTTTTCCACTTCCTTTGCAGGCATCTTTATATGTATTTTTGCCAAAGCTCTTACCTCACCAGAATGTGTCTAATGTCTAATCTGTCTTTCTGCCACTGTGGAAGATAACCACTTTAGTTCCCACCCTTCTCAGTGCTGCAGGAGGGGAGAGGAGAGGGCTGGATTCTGGTCCCAGCTCTTGACACCTTGGGCTGACCAGGCACTTCTTGAGACCTCAGTGTTCTCCTCTGGCAGTTGTAGGCATTAAATTATATGTATTCTTTCATGGATGTTTTTGAGCACATGCTGTGTACTAGGCACGATTTTAGGTCCTGACAACACAATGAAGAAAACAGGCTGTGGTCCCTGCCCTCATGGAACCAGTTTGTGTTAATTTGTTATGTGCTGGACATGGTCCTGGGTTTTGAGAGGACAGCCCATGTTTTCTTTTCTTTTTTTTTTTGAGACAGACTTTTGTTCTTCTTGCCCAGGCTGGAGTGCAGGGGTGCAATCTTGGCTCACTGCAACCTCTGTCTTCCGGGTTCAAGTGATTCTCCTGCTTGAACCTCCCAAGTAGCTGGGATTAAAGGCAGACACCACTATGCCTGGGTAATTTTGTATTTTTAGTAGAGATGGGGTTTTTCCATGTTGGTCAGGCTGTTCTTGAATTTCTGACCTCAGGTGATCCACCTGCCTTGGCCTCCCAAAGTCCTGGGATTACAGGCATGAGCCACTGTGCCCTGCCGACAGCCCATGTTTTTATCTCAAGGAATTTATGTATTCATAGGAAATGGAGACAAAAATAAGTTAAAAGACGAAACTATAAATGTAAAACGTGTTAGGAAGGAAACAATACCAGAGGAGACCCTGCTTTAGGCAGGGTTGTCAAAAGAGGTGGCACTTCAGTTAAGATTTAAAGGCAGGAAGAGAAGAGGTGCTTGCTGTCCTGGTCGTTGTCTCTTCTCTCAGAAGTCTGGACTGATGTGATTTCTTCAGTCGTAGTCATTTCTAAATGATAATAGCTTCATGGGGCCATCTGTTCTTCACCTCACTGCTTTCTTCAGGGAGTTTCATTGTCTAATTCAGGATATATAAATGGCAATACATTAAATGGAATTAATTCTCCTTTCTGATGTTTAATGAATACTACTTTGGCCCATAATTCACAAATGATTGAGGCACAAGAGGAATAAAATGAAGTGTATATCCTCTGGTAAGCCTAAGCCAGAGATTTCGTAAATTGGTATCTAGCAGGCAAATCCTGAATCCAGAGAGGTTTCTCTTGGTCCATAGTATTTTAAAAGTTAAGAAATTTCACCTAAAACCTTAAACTTGTGGCATTGCCATGTAAATCTTTAGGTGTGGCCACTCCAGGCTCATGTTCCTACAGCCCTTTGATCAGTCAGTACTGGCTGGCAGAGCCCTCTTTGATGGGCACATGCCCTCAGATCTCACTGCTTCTCCTTGTTTGACCTGCTTCACTCACCTGTTGTCACCTGTCTGGCCCCCGTGTGAATTTGTTTGACTATGAATCATCTCGGGAATTTTTTTGTTTTGTGTCTAAATATCTGTGCCTGGTACCAGCCGGCTTTGAGTAGGATCCACTTGTGCCAGGCTGGGTGATTCTGATGTGCAGCCAGGGTGAGGACCACACTCCTAGGACTGTAGCACTGGCTGAAAATGTACAGCATTCGCCATTGGAGCACACACTGTCGGGAGTGGGCAGCTCCTCTTTTACTCTGTTCCTAGGATACCTGGTAGTAGGTGCTTTAAATACTTGTAACACAAATGAATAAATTATATTTAATTTGATATTTATTTGACCTTGGAAAAGCATTTTTTAAAAACTCACATTTTCTGACCAGGTGCAGCCGCTCATGCCTGTAATCCCAGCACTTTGGGGGTGAGGTGGGAGGATTGCTTGAGCCCAGGAGTATTAGATCAGCCTGGGCAACCTAGTGAAACCCGTCTACAAAAAAAAAAAAAAAAAAAAAAAGCCAGGACTGTGGTCATGATGGTGAGTGCCTGTAGTCCCAGCTACTTGGGAGGCTGAGGTGGGAGGATCGCTTGAGCCCAGGAGGTCAAGGCTACTGTGAGCATAATCCCATCCCTGTATTCCAGCCTGGGCCACAAAGCAAGACCCTGTCTCAGAAAACTTCTACATTTCTTAATTTAGGTATGTGGATTTTTTTGGTTTGTTTTTAGTTGTCTTTAGTAGATAACACATTCATGTGGTTTTAAGATCAAAATGGAAAAAGGAATATAGTGAAAAGTCTCATTTCCCCTCTGGTTCCTGTCTGACCAGTGCACTACCCCTGCACCCTCCCTACCCCCCAGTCAGCAAGTATAAGCAAATCCAACCATATAGTCTCATTTTACCCCCGTTTTATCCTAAAGGTAGCTTCCTAAAAATAATGTTCTCTCTTTAGCCTTGACATATCTTGAAGATGTTACCGTGTTAGTAGAGAGCTTCCTTTTCTTTTTTCTTTTTTTTTTAACAGTTGAAAAGTATTTTTCATTGTTTGAGCATATTATGATTTACTTAACAAGTACCCGATTGAAGGACATTTGGATTTTTCCTTACATTTCTGCTGTGAGCAATGCTGCAGTTAATACCCTTCTCTGTATGTCATTTTATAATCACACGTGTGCATAGTATAGCTCCATGATAATAAATTTCTGGCTGGGTACAGTAGCTCATACCTGTAATCCCGGCACTTTGGGAGGCCAAGGCAGGCAGATTGTTTAAATTCAGGAGTTTAAGACCAGCCTGGGCAACAAAGTGAGACCCTGTCTCAATCAATCAATCAATAAATTCATTCATTCACTCATTCATCCTGAAGTAGAATGGCTAGGTCAAGGAGTATACACATTTGTAATTTTGATATATGTTATACATTTCTCTGTTAGGTGTTGTACCAGTAGCTCTTATTAATTAATAAGACTATGGCATTTGGACTATGTTTTTAAAAGAATATTTACTGTGCTTTGTTTTGTTGTCTTTGTGGAGTTAGAGAAATTATTTTGTTGGTTATATGAATTTTGGTAAGAGTAGTAAGACTGTTCTAGATCATTGGTTTCTACTAATGGCCAAAGGCTCATAAGGGGTTCTCAGGTTCATATGCTAAACAAACATCAGCTATATATATATATGTGTGTGTGTGTGTGTATACATATGTCTTCCATATATATATGTACGTCTCACACAAGTATATTAGTATATATTTTAGCTATACATAGATACTGTTGTCTTTAATGAAATTAAAAATTATTTTAATAGTGTTACTGAAGTCTTAGTTCATATAGTAACAGCTCAACATCTTGTCAATGGCTCTAATATTTTAGATGGTGATATGGTTTGGCTGTGTCCCTACCCAAATCTCATTTTGCATTGTAACTCCCATAATCCTCACCTGTCATGGGAAGGACCTGGTGGGAGGTATTGAATCATGGAGGTGGGTTTTCCCCATGCTGTTCTTAATGATATTGAGTGTCATAGGTCTGATGGTTTTATAAAGGGCAGCTCCCATGCACAGACCCTCTTGCCTGGTGCCATGTATGACATGCCTTTGCTCCTCCTTCACTTTCCACCATGATTGTGAGGCCTCCCCAGCCCATTAAACATCGTTTTTAAAAAATAGATTACCTAGTCTTGGATATTTATAGCAGTATGAAAATGAGCTAATATAGATGGCCCTTGGATTTCAGTGGTGTATTCATTCTATGTTCTATCAGTTTTTTTCAAAGTAACTTAGTCTGTTGATAGAGAAGAGTAGAATCAACAGACTATGCATGTTCTATGAGTGCCTATTTGCCTATTGCATAATAAAAATAATCTTTCTCTTGTAGATGTCCCTTTAAGGACCAGTCTGCCACCACCATTCAGAAATCATAAATATGGTAACCAATTTTTTTATTTTTAAAAATATATATGAATACAATTTTGCATTAGTTTGTTACAAACTTAAGTTTTGTTTTCAAAAATGAATTGACTATCTATAAATAAAAACCAGTTTGGAAGTTTATTTAGAAATACAGGAATCCTATTATATTGCTCAAGTCAGTTGTAGTAGGAAGTGGAATATTTGCAAGGAATAGCATGTTTGGCAAAACTGTGTTTAAAATGCGTTTCCCTGCCAGGTAATTAGAAAAGGAAAAATGATCAAAGACTGGGAATTAAAAGAAGGGATTTAACATTTTAAATGCCAATAATTTGAGCATATTATATAGTAGTTTTATATGGTACAATTGATGATTTAAAAATGGAGTAATAAGGCAAGAAGCTAGATGTCATTCATTATTTGTTGTAAAGATGGCACAGTTATTAACCTTCAGCAGAGTGACACTCACAAAACTTTGAATTTGAGACTTCATTTGAAAGGTATGATGCACCTAATAAATATTTCTGTTAATTGGTGCAGACATTTTAAAGTATCAATTTTTTATTACCTTAGATTTTTTTTTTGGAGTGGCTTTTCATTCTGTTCTCATTTGATAGAACAACTTATGACCTAAAGTCCTTTGAAATCACAGTCTTCACCGTGTGTATGCATTTTAATATCCAGAAACTAATTGTGAGGTTATAAGGGGTAGTCAAGCAGAAGTTGAAGGCACTGAGTGGAAAGCACTTTGATTTATTGGGCTTAAAGAATTTACATAATATTGAATAAGAGAAAGGAATAAAAAGCATGATTAAGGTAAATATGAAACTTCTCAATTGTGGCTTTCAAGGCTTTCAAAGTATAATGTCTTGAAATATTGCTTTAAACTTGAATCAACTTACAGATGCCATTTTAAATTAGAATAGTTACATGTGGTTTCCTTTTTCATGGTGTGTGTTTTGTGTACGTGTATGCAAAGCTGTGTTCCATGTAAGTTCTTTTGAAAGAAATTTTATATAATAAAAGCATTAGAATATCCGAGTTGCTAAGCATTATTGTAGTAGATAATGTACCTTTTAGGCTATTCTACCTTATTAGCATCCTTCTGTCTTAGAATTTGTATACTATTCAGATGAATTGTCAGAAAAAATGAATACATTTATCTATGAAGAAATTATAGTACCACTTGAGTTCTGATAGACTTCAAGTGGCTTTGTCTGAGTTTGGCTCCTTAACAATCTTCTGCTTTGTGTTGAACAAGAAAGGCTGTAGTATTATTTTCACCTGTCATTGTCATCCAGGATTGCCGCCTCACGGTCTGCGGGACAGAGCCCTTTGTTGGCTATTAGGGAGTGGAAAGAGTGCAGAGTCAGATTTCAGTTTTGCCAGTTACTATCTCCCTCCCCTAGGGCAAAGGGCTGCTTCTCTCTGCCACCAAGAGCCTGAGATTCCTCAGAGCCCTCCTACCATTTAATTGGCATCCACACCTATTGACTGACCATGTATGCTACTCATCTTTAAATCCCTGTTGTCTAGACGGAGGGCACACAAAAATGTGGTTGTTGTAAAGTGTGGACTGCTCATCCCTGTCTATTTCATAAAGCTGTGTGTGATGCTCCACAAATATAAGATGCTCTGTTTATGAGGTTGCTTTTCTCAAGGAATTTGTATGAAAGCAATGCCCACAGGTGTTGTTTTGATAATTACAAGGATTATTTTAAAGATGGAAGAACAAGGGAAGTAGCTTATTCAGCACAGAAAGGGACATGAATACATCTCTTTGCTGGTTTGTCATTTCTCCTTTCTTACCCACTCCTCATGCCACACCCCTTTATATTGGAGAGAAAAATCTGGCAAAAACTTCTGTTCAAAACATTTCTTTTTCTGCTAAAATATATAGCCATTTGATTGTGTGTTGGCCAAACCTATTAGAACAGCAGGATTTCTAGTTTAAGGGCTCATTAGCAACATATATAGAACATCATTAATATTTAGTAAGGTTAGACTACAGTTTTGCAGGTTGATTGTAATAGACTGAACTCCTGTTATTTAAAAAATTACTATTGGCTTCTGTCATTTGTCTCAAATAATAAACGTATCTACAGTAAAATAAAGAGCATGATAGATAAGTCAGAATACTAGATAAGCTGAAAGTCAACTTTATTTTCCTACGTACATTGTAAGCTTACTTTTAGCAACTATGGTTTCTTTACATCCCTAATATGCATATTTTACTTAGGTTTTATTTATTTTTATTTCTTAGGAATACAGAGTCTGAGGATTATGTTGACCTTGTAAGAAAAATTGCAATAGATAACTGAAAGTTGACTATTTAAAATAATGATCAAATTCAGGGTGCTAGTTCTTATCCCGATAACCACTTTATTCTGTATTATGAGAACATAGTTAAATAAGGTCTGTTTTTAAAATAGATTCTTTCATTTCATGTCACTGTTGGAATTCCTTGTTATAACGTGATTGATAGGAATGAGCTTTAGATTAAGGTTGGGAGTTTAGTCAATAATACATTATAATCATAATGCATTCATTAAATGGTTAAATAAAAATGAGTGAAGAATTGGAAACTTCCTGAATTTCAACCTGTTGAATGGCTACATAAATTATATGATTAAGGGCTGATTGATAGTTGCTGAGTTAGAATTTTACCCAAGTAAAGAGAAATTACTTACTGGAAATGCACAGCGTAGCCCGACTTTAAGATAAACAGATTAAAGAGTGAAGTTGGGTTTGAATAGAGCAGATTAAATGGTGTGAGCCTGTGCAGTATTTACAAACCAGGAGACAGATAATAATATTCTTGGGCATTAGCAGCCTTGCTCAGATTACTGGTGGTCCTAGATACAGTGTTTGAATTCTGAGATGGTAACACCCGTATCATCATTTGCTCTTGTCATTGTATCTCATCTGAGTAGATTTTTTTGAACTGCATTTGTTAATGTCTATTTTAAGACTTTTTTCTTTTTACATTATTTGCTAATTCTGATCTGTAGTGACTCCAGAAAACAAGATACAGTAATGTGATTCTCTTGTCTTCCATTCTAAGAAAAAATGTGCTGAGTTGACATAAAATTTTGACATACACTGCTGTGTGTCAAAGACCAAGGCTTTAAAAGAAAAGAAAGATCTTTTACTTCAATTTTAATTATCCATAAAAGGAATTTTTCTTTGTACAGTATTCTTCTAAGTGAGTCTGGTTATAAAACAAGAACTTACACTTCTCAATCTCATAACCACTCTACTCTACTCGTTTTCATAATTTGAAAAGAAGTTTAGAATAAACTGTGTAAAAAGATAACTTGCTTTTTTCTTTCAGATACACTAAAGATTATTCATCAAGCCCATAAATCAAAGGTATGTTCCACAGGTACAGTATCTGTCACATAGCAAGTAATCAATGTTGGTTGAATTTGGGAATAAGTGAATGAATACATGTACATCTAAAATATTTCCCATTATAATAGTGCTTTTAATTTTGTAGGTACCCTTTCTACCACCTTAGCATTTTCACTGAAGAAAAAAATAAGCTGTTTCCCTGTTAGTAGTAGGTCCTTTTTAAAAAAGCATTAATTAAAAAAAAAAGTATACGATATTTTGTTTATGAAGCACATATTTAACATAAAATAAGCATAAAACTTGGAAAAATGAATTCATTTTACAGAGAAAAGGATCTACTTATTACTTCTCAATCCAGTCTCTTGGATTTTCTTAATTCTGTACCAGAACAAAAGGGCCAGAAGCAGACACAAATAATTCACTTGTTCTGATTTGATCCTTGCTGTGTATGAAAGGCGGCACAGAACTGTGGCTCTGGGAGCACACCTTTTAGCTCCACCAAGGTCATGGCCTACAGTCCTGAAGTTGTCTTGCCTTTCCCAAAGAGAGCTGTTTGTTTATGGGTTTGTTGCGTGTTTATATTTCTGTTTTTATGAAGCCACAATCAAAGATTTGTTTATCATACACACAGAGCAGAGTGATCTTTTTTCTTTAATCACAGTGGCCTTCTATAGAGTCCTCATTAAAGTCCTTTTGGCCTCCATCCAGAAGCTAAGTAGGGTAGGACCTGGCTGTTCACTGAAGCAGTAATCTTAACCGTGTTATATAAACTACTCAGGAGCAAGTTATTATTCATCATATCCCAATACCTGGCACAATGCCTGACTCATCCGAGTTTTTCCATAACAATTTTTGAATGAAGTATTTATGAATTCATTTCATTTCATTGTCTTCTCTAGTTGTAGATGTACTCCATACACTTAATCATCTTTCAAATAAATGAGTATCACAGATCACAAGAAAATGTTGTGAGGGCATGCCTGTTGAATATTAATTAGTAACTGTGTTTTAAAATTTATTTTATTTAAATTTTTTTGTGGCTTAAAACAGCACACATTTATTCTCCTCCAATTCTGGAGGTCAGAAGTCCAAAATCAGTTTTACTGAGCAAAAGTCAAGGGTTTAGTAGGATTGGTTCCTTCTAGTTACTTCATTTTTTTATACCAAGGATTGTATATGCCTATTTTACAATATCTATTGTGAAATGCCTCAAAATGTCATGCTTACACGTGTCTGGGGCTGTGCTATGGAATATGCCCTTTTGATTGGTACTAGAATGTATGACTACTGTATTTGGACTTTGTCCAATCTTTCTTCTTTGGGACAGGAATGTTTTCAACCTCGTTCCTAAAATGTAGAGAATAGGAAATGTCCTACTGTATATTTATATATATTATATATATCTAAAATACAAATATGAATCTAAAATAAAGTTAAAACAGTATGCTCTTTGAAAAGGTTGTTGAGCGAAGTGTGTCCCCATTCTCCATTCATTGCTGGATGATTTACATTGTTTGGCTTTTCATATGCTCATGTTTCTGAAAAGGAGTAAGTAGTAATTTATTCCTTTATCTTAGTGAAGACATAGTTCATCGTGTTCAAATTATCAGTATTATAACATTTTTAAAAATCTGGAAATTCTGTCATTGGAAGACAGAAAAAAAAATCTTAGAATTGTTACTTATATTTAAGACTTATGTTTCACACAGCAGGTTCTAGTTTTAAAATTAGGGCTTGTTTTTCCAGTTGAATGATGTATTTGTTTAAGGGAGATTCCCAAAACAATTAAGTCACTTAGAGTGCTTCTGACATCTGGCTTTATAAACTTTCATCCAAATCATAATGATGCTAGTTAAGTACAGGCTGTATTATGCCCTGGGGATGGTTCTGCAAGTTTCTGCTTCAACTTTTCTATGGAAAGAGTTCAATATATTTTTACAGATATAGTTTTAAAACTTCAGAGAAACTTTATCCACACGTCCTCATTTGTGCCTTATTCAGCTCAGAGTCATTTTTCTCATTGCCAAGTGATGGTTGTCCTTTCCTCTTCTGTTCCCCGTCTGCAGGGTCTGTGGCATTGCTGGCATGCCCTGTCAGTGTTCCAACTCAGCTGTAACTTTAATCTTCATCATCAGCCAAAAGGAGAGACATCTAAATAATTCCTAAGTCTTAATGAGCTCATTCATAAAAGGCATTTTCCCCATTTCCCTAATTTTCTAGGCTTAGAGACTTTCCTGATTATTAGATATCCTCAGAAATTTCTTCCCATTCCCACAATAAAAAGACTGACTGCATACCTTCCCACCAGAGCCTCCTGTGTGTGTGTGTGTGTGTGTGTGTGTGTGTTTGTGTGTATGTGTGTGTGTATTATGGGTGATAATCAGTGTTTGGTTTATAAAGTCACAATAATTTCTATTAAAAGATTGAAATAACAACTTTAATTTCCATCTTATGTGTGGACATCATACCCTGGAATAAACTTTATAAGAAATGTGCAATGTCTTTAAAAAAAAACTTAAAAACTTAAAATGAGGCTGTCCTTCTTCACCCCTCACCACACATATACTTGAAAATATAAATCTAAACTCTGGGATTGATTTTTCAGACCCATTAAAGTGAACTCCTCTCAAGATCTGTGCATCTTATTGTGTGAAACTGTACTTCAACTTAACAAAACAAAACCTGCTATGATGGTTCCAAAATAACACTTAAATAGAAATGCTTAGGATATTTTAGATAGGAAGATGCAACAGCATAAAATCAATTCTCTCTTAATTTACATATTTAATGCTACCCCAATAAAATACAATACTTATGTATATATGTAAACTAAAGAAGCTGATTTTTAGATCAGTATGTAAAAAATAAGAATAATCAGAAGAATTCTGAAAAAGATAAATGAGAGTAATTAGCTCTAACATTTAAGACATATTATAAAACTATAGTAATTAGAACAGTATGGCACTGTCACATGACCTGGTTATTTAATGGCACAGAATTAAAAGTTCAAAAATATACCCCAGTATTTTAAAATATGGAAATGGAATGTATAGTAAATATAGCATTTCAAGTCTGTAAAGAAAAGATGGAGGCTTTCATAAATGGTATTTGAATAACTGGGTAAACATCTAAAAAAACAGCTAAGTTAAATTTATGTATTTTTCTTTATGTCAAAATAAATACCCCTTGGATTAAAAAATTAAACCCATAGATGAGGATAGAGATGAAACAGATGAAACATGATTTGATAATTTCTTCAAGTTGGGTCATGGGTACAGGACAGGGGGCTTATTATCAGTATATAATTATACTTGACATTCTCCATGATGAAAAATTCAAAAAATGAAATTAATGAAAACATTTAAAGAGAACAGGGAATTTAAAAAATATTGGAATGCGGAAAGTTTTTCTAAGTATGACAGAAAACTGAGAAACAATATGACACTGGTACATTTTACTTCATTCACTAACTTATTCCACCAAAATTTATTTAACACCTTCTATGTAAAAAAAAAAAAACAAAACACTGAGAATGGCCGGACGTGGTGTAATCCCAGCACTTTGGGAGTCCAAGGTAGGTGGATCACAAGGTCAAGAGATGGAGACCATCCTGGCCACCATGGTGAAACCCTGTCTCTACTAAAAATATAAAAATTAGCTGGGCTAAAATATAAAAATTAGCTGGGCTTGGTGGCGCGCACCTGTAGTCCCAGCTACTCTGGAGGCTGAGGCAGAATTGCTTGAACCTGGGAGGTGGAGGTTGCAGTGAGCTGAGATTGTGCTATTGCACTCCAACCTGGCGACAGAGTAAGGGTCCCTCTCCAAACACACACACACGCACACACACACACACACACACACACACACACACACACACACACAGAGAGAGAGAGAGAGAGAGAGAAAGCAAGGAACAAATAAAAACTGGGGGGACATTTTCTAACTTACAGAAGAGGCTGAATTTCCTTTGCCTATGAAGATATTCTGCAACTCTATTGGATAAATTAATCTACAACTCCATACTTAACCCACAGCTGTCAGATTGGCAAGAATCAGAAGGCTTTGCTAACACACTGTGTTGGGAGGGTATGAGAAACAGGTCCTCTCCGTGGTCCCGTCCTTGCTGGAGAACTAGATAGCTGGTGGATGGGGATTGGGAGGAGACTAACTTCACTTTCTATTCATATGTGCTTGGAGAACTTTGTATAATGAGTAGATACTACCTTTTTTTTTTTTTGAGACAGTGTCTCACTCTGTTGCTCAGGCTGGAGTGCAGTGGCATGAACACAGCTCACTGAAACCTTTGCCTCCCAGGTTCAAGATATCCTCCTGCTTCAGCCTCCTACGTAGCTGGGACTACAGGTGTATGCCACCACACCCAGCTAATTAAAGACAACTTTTTTTTTTGTAGCTATGGGGTCTTGCCATCTTGTTCAGGCTGGTCTCAAACTCCTGGGTTCAAACAGTCCTACCACCTTGTCCTCCCAAAGTGCTGGGATTACAGACTGTATTCCCTATTCTAAAATGATTGAGTGAAGTATTTTTTCTTTTAATCTGTATGCTCTGGAATTTAAGCCCCTGTGCTCTGTAGTGAATGAGGTCTGTGAATCCTGCATGCCTTGGGCTTCTGATTTGGCCGCTAAGAGGCCTTTCTGTTGACTCTCTGTCTCAGCTGTATCCTAGAAATAGAATATGTTTCTAAACAGCTGTGTTCTGGTTGACAAGTGGTGCTGTGTGCCCAACCAGTGGTCACCTCTTTGTGCTATGTAGGAGCAGATAGCAACTTTAAATTTTCACTTGTATTTATGGAGTCTCACTGGATTTGTAAGTATCACTGGAGAGCACTCTTGTTTACCTCCACCCCAAGTCACATAGAGAAATATTCCAATTAATGTGACATGGAATCAAATGTTATTTAGCTTGAGCAAGGTTTTTAGATATGTGGACTTTTGGCCATTTGAAGTATACTTGTGGTCAGGCATGGTGGCTCATGCATATAATCCCTGTATTTTGGGAGACCAAAGTGGGAGGATCACTTGACCTCAGGAGTTCAAGACAAGCCTGGGCAATATAGTGAGATCCCCATCTCTACTAAAAAATAAATTAGCTGGTCTTGGTGGCACATGTATGCAGTCCAGGCTACTCAGGAGGCTGGGATGGGAGGATTGCTTGAGACTTGGAGATTGAGGCTGTAGTGAACCATGAGCCATGATCCATGATCACACCACTGCACTCCAGCCTAGGTGACAGGTTGAGATCCTGTCTCAAAAAACAAAACAAAAAAAGGAAGCACACTTAATTATCTCAGAAGTCAGACTGACCAGAGCTGAAAGCTCAGCTCTGCTGCTGACCAGGTTAAGATGACAGGAAAAGATGATGATGGTGCAACAACAGAACAGTGACAGCTAACAGAGTGTGCTCACCCTGCAAGCAGCACTGTTGAGGGTTTATATGCTCCATCGTGTCACCCTTACCACAAGGTGATGAGGAAGGGGCCCTCTCCTCCCCTTTTCTACCGATGAGGAAATCGAGTCCTAGAGAGGTCATGTAGCTTGTTGAGAACACACAGCTGGGTGCTGGTGGAGTCTGGATTTGCATCCTGATCTGCATTCACACCCACACCACAGAACTCTCCCCAGTGCTTTACGTGGTGCGTGCACTCGGCAGGTCCTCAGTGTGCCTCTGATCACTGCCCTCATTACGGCCAGGAGAGTGGAATCTACTTACTGTTGCTGTGCTGAAATTTACAACTCTGTCTTTGAGAAATCTCACCAAATAAGCCCATTAAATACTGATGAAATGCAGATTTTCTTTCTTTTTTGTTTTTTAGACAAATGAACTTGTGTTGAGTTTGGAAGACGATGACAGACTCCTGCTGAAAGAAAGCAGCACTCTGAAAGCAGCTGGAATCGGTGAGGAAGGGGGCCTTGTGTTGCTGGAGGGGAAACTCACTCTCCCGGCCTATGCTGAGGCCTGGCTGGTGGTATTTGGATAACTCACTGGAAAGTAAATGCTACCCTTGGCCCCCTTGACACTGCTTGATAACTGATCAGAGGAGGAGGATGAGAATGATGTGCATTCTGATCTCTTCACTGAGGGCAGTAGGTGTCTGCTCTCCAAGTGTGCAGAATGCAATGGCTCTTTTCAGAAGGTATGGTCAGAACTCCCCTGAGGGTCATTTTAAGTGACAGCTTGTTAGTACCATGTCTACTTATTCTTACTATTGTCACTTGAGCCAATGGTTGGAGAGAAATGGACGTAGTAGAACTAATGAGGAATAATGAAACATGTCGTTGTTTGTATCACATGCCGTATGGTTTTTGATAGTCTTCTGAGTCACTCACAGCTCACCAAGGCATGGAACTGAAAATGGGAGCCTGGTGTGTGCAGCTGGAAAGTACCTGATTGGGCCTTCCAGCCTAGAATGTGCTGTGGTTTTATTATAAAGAAATGTTATCTGACATGTTTTGTGACCATTAGATGTCACTGTTATTCTACGTATATGTAGACCTAAAGCTGATCTGGCAGAAGAGGGGATGGAGATTGTCAGGTAGGTCTGAATGGTTGAAGGCAATGTGCTCCTGACACACCTTTGCAGTTGGCGACTGATGCAGTGTCACACGCCATGCTGCTTAATTATTTGTTAATTAATTAATTTTTTGAGACAGAGTCTCGCTCTATTATCCAGGCTGGAGTGCAGTGGTGCAATCTCAGCTCACTGCAACCTCTGCCTCCCAGGTTCAAGTGCTTCTCCTGCCTCAGCCTCCTGAGTAGCTGGGACCGCAGGTGTGCACCACTTGCTTGGCTAGTTTTTATATTTTTTTAGTAGAGGTGGGGTTTCACTATACTGGCCAGAATGGTCTCAGATTTCTAACCTCAGGCGATCCACCTGCCTGGGCCTCACGTTGTTCATAATTATTTATGTGCACTGGTTAAGGAACACAATAATTGAGGTGCACACTGGGAAGCCTGAAATGTTTTTGATGAATATTCTTTTGAGTTACTTTAATCACATATATCAGGAACTTACTTCTGATTGATTTATGTGACTAGCATGAATTCCTGACATAGATCTTCCAATTTAAATAGGGTTTTAAATAGCGTGTTGTGAAATCGTAGACTCGATTTCTGTGTTGACCTCTACAATATTTGCTAGAATATTCATGCCTTTCCATGTTATGAATATATAAGGTTATTTTGAAGAATGATTTTGAATTTGGCATTTGTTTCTTCAAATGCTGTTTTATTATTGTAGCAGGTGGCACCTTTGTGATTGGGGCATGTGGTACCCAGAAGGCAGCCCTGCTTGTTGTTAAAGCATACGGCACAATGAATATTACAGACTGACTGATATTGATGGGGGAATTGACAGACAGCTCCATGGAAAACACTGGAAAATCCAAAAACTAAAAAAAGGGTAATATTTCCCAGGATGATAAAGTTAACATTTCAAATAAAAAAAGAATGATTTAGCCAGAAAATTATGTAAAAGCCCATTGTCAAAGCATTCAGGAAAATACAATTCAAACCCTTATCTCATCTCTTTTTTTAATTACAAGATAAATTCTAGATGGGCTAAATGTTATAATGTAAAAAAAAAATTTTTAAAGAAAATGTAGTTCAATAATTTCATAATCTTTGGAAAGAGAAGAGCTTTTTAAGAATGACCTCAAAGAGAGAAGCCTTAAAGGGGAAGAAGTGATAGGTTTGACTACATAAAAACTAAAAACTCTAAACAGAGTTAAAGAAGAAGCAATAAACATTGAAAAATATTTGCAGCGTATACAACAGATGAAAAGTTATTAGCCTGGGGTTGGGCGTAGTGGCTCACGCCTGTAATCCCAGCACTTTGGGAGGCCAAGGTGGGAGGATCACTTGAGGTTAGGAATTTGAGACCATGCTGGCCAACACTGAAACCTCATCTCCTCTAAAAATACAAAATTGAGCGAGGCATGGTGACACATGCCTGTAATCCCAGCTACTCGGGATACTGAGGCATGAGAATGACTTGAACCGGAAGGTAGCGGTGTCAGTGAGCTGAGATCACACTACTGCACTCCAGCCTGGACAACAGAGTGAGACTCTGTCTCAAAAAAAGAAAAAGGAAAAGAAGTTATTAACTTTATAAAGAGCCGTCCTTGTAATTACTATGAAAAAGAAAAATTCTACTGATAGAAGAAATAACTCACAAATGAAAAATAGTTCCACCTTATTAGGAGAGAGTGAGTACTTGTTAGAAATGAGTACATAGATACTGTTTATATAGTAGAGTCTAGTGTTAAGACTCTAGTCTGGGGCCAGGTGCAGTGGCTCACGCCTCTTATCCTAGTAGTTTGGGACGCCAAGGCTAGTGGGTCGCTTGAGGCCAGGAGTTCCAGATTAGCCTGCACCACATAGTGAGACCTCATCTCTATAAAAATAAAGATTACAGTCTAGAGCCAGAGTGCTTGAGTCCAAAACCTGATTCTGTCTCTTACTGTCTGGGTGACCTTGGACAAGCAGGAATTGTTTTAAGATTAGTAGACATGAAAAAAGTGGCATTGCACAAGGGAGTGCCTGGTGTAGGAAATGGATACTCTTATACCACTGTTGGGAATGAATATGACCTCTAATTTTCTGTAGGTCAGTTTGACCAATAAGACTTTCTCAAGTTTGAATTTCAGTGATACTTTTTTCTAAGTCGACAGGAACAAGCTGTGAGGTTATGATAGGTCTTTCAGAGGGGTGGTAGGGTTAGTCCTGACCTTCCCTTTATGTGAATCACTGAAGTAGAGCTTAATTTATTGAATAGAAATAGAATATATTGTGTGATTCCATTATTGTTTGGGTTTTCTTTTTTGAGACTGGAGTCTTGCTCTGTCACTCAGACTGGAGTGCAGTGGCGCAGTCTTGGCTTACAGCAACCTCCACTTCCCAGGTTCAAGCTATTCTCCTGCCTCAGTCTCCCAAATAGCTGGGATTACAGGTGGGTGTCACCATGCCCAGCTAATTTTGTGTTTTTTAGTGGAGGTGGGGTTTCACCATGTTGGCCAGGCTGGTCTTGAACTCCTGACCTCAGGTCATCCACCTGCCTTGGCCTCCCAAAGTGTTGGGATTACAGGCGTGAGCCACTGTGCTGGACCTCATTGTTGTTTTAAAATGTTTAAAATATACATGTAAGATTATTGTTTGTGTATATATGGAGAAAAGATCATATGCCAAAATTATAGAAATGGTTTCTTGAGGTGGTGGCATTGCCAGTAATTGATATTTTCTTTTGTTATCTGTATTATCTAAGTGCTCTTCTGGTGATTTAAAAATTTTTCTACAGTTTACATGTATTCCTTGTAATTAAAGGACTTTTTTTTATAAGTATAAACCCATCAAATTGGTGGAAAATTGGTTCGAATGAAGGCTGTGCATTTTGCTTGCCTTCTGGCCTTCTGTAAGCCACTTACCCTGTCTGAAATTCTATTTTGTTTTCTGTAAAAATAGGAACAATGAAACCTGTTGTAGAATGATGTCATGAGGTAGTGTAAAACAATGAGGGCATCGGTAGGGATGTGTGTAAAAGGCCCTCAAGGACAACTGCTTTGTCTGGAAACTGTCCTGGAGAAGGCACTTGGCAAATGTTTTGATTTTACTAAAATATTGAGTTGTTGGTCTCATTGTGATTAATTTCAAACTGACTTATGTAATGAACCATCTGTAAAGGTGAGAAGCAGATCCTTCTTTTTGTCCTCTTAGTTTAAGGATATTGGTCCTGGATCAGTCAGATTCTTTTCCCAGATTCTCCACTCATTTCAGGGTGGTATGAGGACTCCAAACTGCACTCCTGACTCTGGCAAGCCAGCAGCTTTGGGCTCACGGTGACTTGGGTCCCTGCAGGGAGCAATTTTCTCTTTGTTATCTAAAGTGGTGTTGCTTTGCTCTTGGGGACAAGCTGAGGTTATACCTGGGGAAGGAGATGAGGGTACCTGGAGAGCAACAAAAAATTCAAAGTGAGAGTTGAGTTGTGAAAATGATACTTGAAATACATGATTTTTTTTTTTTTTAATGGAGTCTCACTCTGTCACCAGGCTAGAGTGCTGTGGTGAGATCTTAGCTCACTGCAACCTCCACCTCCCGGGTTCAAGTGATTCTCCTGCCTCAGCCTCCGAGTAAGTGGGATTACAGGCGTGCGCCACCATGCCTGGCCAATTTTTGTATTTTTAATAGAGACGGGGTTTCCCCATGTTGGCCAGGCTGGTCTCAAGCTTCTGACCTCAAGTGACTTGCCTGCCTCGTCCTCCCAAAGTGCTGGGATCACAGGCGTGAGCCACTGCGCCTGGCCTGAAATATGTGATTTTTCTAGGGAAATTTCCCTCCCTCAGTGCCATGTCTGGTTAGATTTTTAAGAGGTTTAAGAGAAAAATTCGAAGCCTTCCCTGTCTCCCTTTTCACCACTTGATCTTGCTGTAGAGCTGTCACTCTGCTATCACAGTGAGTTGCCATGGGAATAACGCCAGGGTAACAAATTTATCATTAGGACTTTTTTTGCTGGAGTTGTAAAAGGAAAAGAAAGGCTGCGAGTGGGGAAATTAGGGGAAAAAACATGTTTGAAGATTTCTTTTCTCATGGAGAAATCCTCTAGTTCATTCTTTGGCTTTTACTGGCACTGCAGATCCCAGTGGAACGTTTTACACCTGACGTCGGTGGAAGATTTTGCTTGTGGACTCAGTATGAAAATACGTACTTTAAAAAGATTTGCTAGGTGGAAGCAAAAAGAGACTTTTACCTAGAAATGTTACTTATAATTTAAAGATTGTTTTTACCTTGTTATCAGCAATTATAGTTTTATGGACTGATTCCCCTAAGTAATACATTTACCTGTAAGCTTTTTTTTTTAAGTGTTATTTTCTCTCTTTCATTTTGCTACATTCTACTACTGTTGTCTTTCCAATCTAGCCTGGTTTAAGAGAGAAACTGGCTGAGTAATACTTCCAAAGCCAGTTGTGTTTCATGGGAAACATTTTAAAACAAGATAGTGGCCAAACCCTAAGTGCTTATCTGAGGAAAGTGTTCTTGGCAAGCCAGGCCCTGTAATAATTCCAAAACTCCCTTGTGGTTTGTTTTCATTTTGTGTGTCCCTTCTGTCATCTGCCCCCAACCAGAACCCTGTCTTCATGCCTCACCCCTTTGGGTGATCTCGTCCATTCAGCTAATATTGTGGGATTCTGCAGCTCCCCCTTCTCCTTCAGGGTCTGTGTTAGATTTGTGTTTCCTTGAGGCGTGGGCCCCTTTCCCTTTTCGTTTCTGGGTAGCAGTGTTTTAGCTCATGCATGTTTTCTTCCTTCGACAGTACATTATGGTGGCCGTTCTTCACCTTTACATAGAAACAGCGATCATCTGGTTACTCAGTAATATGGTGTTGGGCCCAGGGAACTGGGGGATTCCAGAACCAGGACTCAGAGTGCACCTCCGTAGAGTGTTTCCCTTTTTACCTCCCCACACCATGGTGGAAATTACAGGCATGTGCCCAGTCTATCAAAGGCCAGACTTTTTTTTTTTTTTTTTGCTAGTTGTTTTCTTCAGACTGTAGTTTGAAATCTGCTAGCAGATCCAAAACAAACATCTGAAGCAAGTCATGAAATAAAAGGCACAGCACTTGGGACTTCTGTTGGTGGTAAAAAAAAAAAAACTTAGAAATATAACTCAGCTGTGAGCACAGCTTCGAATGATTTGTAGATTAGGATTTTGTGAAATTTGGGAGGATAGGCTGTACTCCCAGAGTGGGGGAGAGGGTGTAACTTTGTCGTTTGGTCTCAGATTGCCACAGAAGCCACGCCTCGCCCTTCATGTATTTTTTTGTCAACAGTCTGCAGTTACTGTCACATGCCAGCCTCCCTGATGGTGGATTTTTTTGTATCACAAGGTCAGTGCGTGTGTCTCAGGCTCCTTTTTCCAGACAACAGGGGCTGCACCTCATACTGCTTGGTGCTGACTAGCAGGAGGCTAGGGACTCAGAACGTATGGATGAATCCTTGTTGATTGATGAGTTTACTGAGATAAATTAGTTAAAGAGTTTAAATATGTTGCATTTATTTTTTCTTGAGATTTTACACTTAAAATCCATTGTTCTTGTATTCTTTCATTTAAACTCATTATTTTTCTATTAAAGTTGTGTGTGTGTGTGTGTGTGTGTGTGTGTGTGTGTGTGTGTCTGTCTGTCTGGAAGCATTATAAAATTATTAATTTTATATCCAAAGTTTGAAAGCCCTGGCTTGTGTTTATTTCATTAAACTTGAACATCAGTATTAAAATGATCTTACAAATGTATTTGGAGGGTTCTCGGTTTCATTTGATAGTAAGACGAAGGGATGAAGTGGCAATGTAGTTATTGGATTTTAGATTGCACATTCATTTCCGATTCCCATGCCAAGGCACTCTGCACCTGACTGCGCTGCCGCCTGCAGCACATTTAATTTCAAAGCAGGTGCCCTGGGGGACCAGCACAAGGTAGACTTCCTGAGGGTTCATCCCCAGCCAGTTTTACAGGAGCCATTTTAAATAGTATTTGGGAAGCAGGAATTTAAGGGATAATGGTGGAAAGAGGGATTATGTAGAGGTCTTAAAAGTCATTTATAATTGGTTTTCATGTAAATTGGCAAATAAATTTGCAGCATAAGTCCTTAAAATCATTCTCTCAAACATTTTCAGCAGTTTTACAGATTTCAAAAAACAATATAATCTACTTCTGTTTAAGGACCACATTACTAAGATTTCAAATCCATTTAATGTTTTACTTTTGAGTGTTCACTGTAACTTGTAATTTGTGTGTTTCCCAATTTGTTAAGGGTGACAAAATCTTTAAATCAACCTGAGGTATTATACTTTAACCCATTTGTTTACCTAGATTTCCTAAAAAAAAAAAAAAAAAAAAGTGCCATCATCTGAAAATAAAATCTTTACACTGTGGACTCTTATTTTGAGTCTATATTATGAGAGCTGGCACAAATGCCTTACGTAAATAATGGATTGATGTTTAAGTTAACTGGACCCAAGAGAACCTATGTGTCAAAACAGAATTGCTTATTCAGTCCCTGCTTTCCATCAGCTTCTCTGAACCTACTATTGCTGTGCTGAAGAAGTGTACGACATACTAGTTTCTCAAAAGGAGTTCAGATAAATGTCAACTGCAGTAAGCGAAAATTGTAATTACAGTTAGCGTGGATCAAGCGAAGTGCTGTGTGGGCAAAGCCCTGTGTAAAGTTCTGTATGTAAATAGCACACCACGGATAAGACCTTGCTCTGTGATTATTAAGAACAGGGTGTCTTTTGCTCATTCTCCATTAGAAGGCTGATTAGAATCACTTGCAAATTATATAAGTCTACCTCTGGGCATGCTTCCCTTCAAAGAGGGAAACCCCAGGAGCTTTTTGTATAAAGGATAGATTTCCAAATATCTTTGAATATGGAATTTTTTGAAGCTTCCTTTCTTGATTGTCTTTTTCCCACTGATGCCAAGTGTAGCGTCTTTTACCCATTCTTTTAGATGCCCCTTGCTTGTAAAATTTAACTGTACCTTAGCTTACCGTCTGCACCGAGTGTGTCTTTTTTACAGCCCCTCCTTATTGATCTCCATTTTCTCTCTGCTGTATTCCTCACAAGCTCCTTGTGATTCGAGGTTGCAATCTGATTTTCATCTACTCAGATTAAATTTAATCTTGAAGATAGAGTATAGGACTGGAATGCGGATCTGTGACTACGGGTGGCTTTATTTTCTTCTTTTGACACTTGTTTATTTTCTGTAATGCATGTGGGTAGCTTATGATTAACAAACATTAAATTTGATATTCTTAAACAGCAAAAACATTTTTAATGAAATGGCATGCTAATCTCATTAATTTCATTCTTTTGTGATAAAGTCTCATGATGAGATGAGGGTTGTAAACTAGGAGCCCAGTGGTAATCCTTGGCACCCTTTGTTATCCTGTTTATTTGACTTGGAGAGTTTTACTTGTCTGTTTTTAGAGAGTATGTTAATTGAGTGCTCAGTATTCATTACGAATAATCTTGTCTGTTTTCTTGTGGAGATTGTGAAGGCCCTTTTGCTCTTTCTGTAAAAGCCAAGCAGACTGTATTAACTTCTGGTTTAATTTAAAAAATGAATGTGGAACTTGTTGGCACAACACCTTAAAGAATTGCATGTTTAATAATTGGAAGGCTTTCCATCAGATTTGTCTCCAGCCTGAATTAATAATGTTGCTGACTTATTGTTTTAGAAGACGCAGTCCTTGACCTGCTAGGTTGAAAGAATTGTGACTGGTCTGAACCTTCGTGGGTCCTTTAGCTGTGCCATCTCCCCTGTGAATAATTAGAGGTGTTTGAAGGTATTGAGGTAGAAGCCAATTTGTGTCTTTCACTTTGCATATTGTTGAAGCCACATGAATTAATCATAAGCAGGGCAAAAAATTAACTTCTTCAGACACATATTTTGATGGGTCATGAGGGAGAATGTAAAGTGATCTGTAAAATATTCTACTGATCCTCTAAGTATTAAATTATTATACCTACAGGCTAATTTCAGGGGGGAAAGAGAGTTTTCCCTCCCCCCTCCTTCAGTACCTGAGTAGCATATTTGAAAAAAGAAATCAAGGTTTGTTCTTTCCTACCACTGTAAAGAGTACTATAAATGAGCAGTTTTATGATTTTCTGCAAACTAGATTCTTACCTTAACTCTTGATTTTAATTTTTGGGTTTTTGAAATTTATTTTTTAAATTATTTGAGTCTTCGATTCTTAAAACTTCACCCGAAACTTCTCGTTGATTTGGTAAAATGCGTTGTGCAGCCCAACAAATAACTTACCTTTTTCTCTTTGGGCATCTGAAGCTCTTCTAAGACACCGAATCAAAGTACTATGGATTTCCATACTTGTTTAAGATTTAGATTTTCATTAAAATCTCTTTCCATTTTGTTTTTTTCAGCCAGTGAAACCGAAATTGCATTCTTCTGTGAAGAAGATTATAAGAACTACAAAGCTAATCCCATTTCATCCTGGTGAAAACATCTCTGGGGCTTCCTTTTTGCATACCTGTATTAAGCTCTTATTCCACCACTGAGTTTTAAAATTGACAAACAAATCTTAAAAAATTAATCCCAGGCTCTACTCTTTGCTAAAATCTGTGATTTCTTTCTCTCCAGGTCTTTCTTTCCTTCTCTCTTTCTTTTTCTTTCTTGTTGTAAAATGATATGAGAAAAACATTAGATTTTCTGAAAGTGAAATAAATCGTTATTAAAAATTATCGTGGAATATTTATTCTTAAATTATAATTTGTTTTCTCAAATTATAAATCATTTTGGTGACTTGCATGTTGGGTTCTTTAAAAAGATTGTGTGACTAGTCTTACTGTTTATTTTGTATTTTTTCTGTAGTTTCTAATTAGAGCAACTGTTACTGTCTGTGACTACCAGAAATTCTGAGTTTCTTAGGACCCTCATGGCTACCTTTTAGCTTAGGGTGTGGGATACATATCATCATATGTGGAATTGAATCATGTGTATTTTAGAGAGGTTTTATGATGTAAGAAGGTTTAAAAAAAAAAAAAGATTGCAGCTCATACATATAATGTTGCTGATATTTTTTCTTTTCTTTCTTGAGCTGTGTTTTTCATCTTTCAGAGCAAACTATCATAGAACATTTTCTGGAAGAAATGTTCTGGAAGATACATTCCTTCTCAATAGTATAATACTTGTGGTTCCTAATCATGGCTGACCACCAGCACCTGAGGACTGCGTTATTTCAGCGGCCTCTCAGTCAGCCTGCGTTTAATCAGAACTCCCGGAGAGCTTACCCAGCCCCACCATTGCTCCCTGAGTCCTGGAGGGCTTAGCCGGCCCTGCGAATGCTCCCTGGGTTCTAGAGAGCTTAGGCGGCTCTGCCATTGCTCCCTAAGTCCTGGAGAGCTTAGCCGGCCCTGCCATTGCTCCTTGAGTCCTCAGAGTTGCCAGGAGGGCAAATTGGTTTCATTATGGTCACATCTAACTTAAGTAAACCTATTATTTTTTAAAAAATCAACTCTGAAAGTCTGATTAACATGATTAGAAGATGTTTTGCTTTGTTGAAAAAGTTAATAGAGTCTTTAAAACAGAAATTCTGTTTTATTGATTGTTTCATTGATGAACAAAGTGTTAATACACAGGTGACGTAGCTCTTTGGGGGTTAATAAAGAAGAAGTACCCAGTTTTTGCCTTTGTGAATGGGGAAAGACACAAGTACAAGCAAGTGATTTTAAGAATAGCAGAAAAAGCTGCCATGGAGCACTGTTGACACAAATTAGTTCTGTTTTTTTTTTTTTGTTGTTGTTGTTGTTTTTATGAAGTACCAGTTGAGCTGTGTCTTAAAAGACCGAATAGGAATTTTTGCCTAGAAGAAAAGACGGGAAAGGCTTTTTGGAAGAGGGAATAGCATACACAAAAACAAAGCACTGTGTATGAGCTTGAGGTTTCAGGAGAAAGCGCAAGACTTTCATAGATGGTGCAACTTAATGATTTTTCCACCTTACAGTGGTACAAAGCAATATGCATTCAGTAGAAACCGTACATTGAGGTCTCATACGGCCATTATGTTTTCCACTTTGAGTGCAGTATTCAATAAATCACATGAAATACTTAATACTTTATAATAGGCTTTGTCATAAATGATTTTGCCCAACTAACTCTAGGCTAATGTAAATGTTCGGAGCATATGTAAGCTGTGATGTTTGGTAAGTTAGGTGTATTAAAAATGCATTTTTGACTTTTGATATTTTCAACCCACAATGGGTTTATTGGGACTAACCCCACTGTAAGTTGAGGAGCATCTATACAGGACTGTGATGTACACAGAACAGAGTAGAGGAAGATAAGGCCAGAAAGGTAGGTTGATGTAGCCCTTACATGTCATGCTAAGGAGTTAGAATTGTATCTAGTAGGTAGATGGGAGCCAGTAGCATGATTTAAACAGGTATTTGATTCCATTTGCATTTTAGAAAGTAAGCTTTGTCATCAATGTCCAGATGGCAGAAAGACTAGAAGACATCATTGAGCAGGTGAAGTTTTGAAGAGGCAGAGGGGAAGAAGAGGAGTGGAAAGGTTCTTGGTGTTACCATTTGATCATGCATTCTGTGACAAATACGGTGTGGTAGTTAATTTACATATGTTATCTCATTTGACTTTGACCACAGTTCTTCAACGGGAGCATGAATTTTTATAGATGAGGGAATTGAGTCCCAGAGAGATAACGTTATTTGCTCAAGAGAATGCAGTAATGTGCAATGGGATTGGAACCAAGTCTGTCTTAAAATCCTGACTCCCCCATTCCATCCTGCAGTCTCCCAGTGGAGACCTGAGTAGAATGACCTTAGAATGTTTGGGACCTGGTGAATGCCTGGATGGGGACAGTGTGGGAGGGAGGAATGGAGCCTTCAGTGATTCTTGCTGGGGTTGAGTGGCTGGATTGATGACGACAGCAGTAACCCAAACAGGGAACTCCATAAGTAGAGGTTAAAACGATTCCATTGTTTACTTTGCACACATTCAGTTTGCATACCAGGCTTTTTCAAAATATAAAATTAAGTGTATCTTTACTTGTGCATTTTTAAGTAGATAATGCAAAAATACATATGTGTACTACCTTTTTTGGTGTGTATTTTCCTTATTATAAAAGGCACATATAGGCTATTTTCACTTACTCGCACAGTTGTAAAAATCAAAAATAAACTTATAGACAGCAACCACCAGAAACTAGAAGAGGCAAAGAAGGATTGTTCCCTGAAGCCTGCAGAGGGAGGAGGGCCCTGCTGACACCTGGATTTCAGACTTGTAGCCTCCAGAATATGAGAAAATACCTTTCTGTGGTTTTTACAATAAATACAAATATATTGTGTGACTAAAAAAGGACTATTAGCAGGAATGCAAGATTGATTCAAAATTAGAAAACCTATCAATGTAATTTTCAAAATCTATAAAGGAGAAAAAAAATTATGCTTAATAGATGCCAAAAGGCATTTGATGATATTCTTGTCCATGCATATATAAAAATTAGCAAGGGAAAGAAATACCCTTAATTTGATGAAGGTTGCTCATAGAAAACCTACTTAACGGAGAAGTGTTTCAGCAAATCTAAATGAATAAGAGGCTGCGGCTGGGTGTGGTGGCTCAGGCCTGTAATCTCAGCACTTTGGGAGGCTGAGGCAGGCAGATTGCTTGAGCCTAGGAGTTCCAGACCAGCCTGGGCAATAGGACGAAACCCTGTCTCTACCAAAAAATACAAAAAATTAGCCAGGAGTGGTAACTTGTGCCTCGAGTTCCAGTTACTCAGAGGCAGAGGTGGGAGGATCCCTGGGATCTAGGAGGTCAAGGCTGCAGTGAGCTGTCATCGCACCACTGCACTCCAGCACAAAAATGAATTAGACAAGAATGAACACTATTGCCATTACTGTTCAGTATATTTCTGCAAGTCTTATTGTAGCCAACACAGTAGGAAAAGTAATGGGTCTCAGATATTGAAAAGGAGTAGACAAAACATTCATTTGCAGACTATATGATTGCAAGAGAATTAAGTTTTTTGAACAAAGAGACTTGAGTGCTGAACCTATAATGTCTTGTTCACAAAAGCTCTAAAATACTGTTACTAGATGAGTATAAAAGACCTAAATAGAGATAAATTACATGTTTATAGCTGGAAGATACCCACCTAATCTATAAGTAAATGCAATCTCAATCAAAATCCCAAAGGATTTATCATGGAACTTGACAAATTGATTTTTAAATTCATTTGGAAGAATAAATGTGCAAGAATAGCCAAGATCAATTTGGAAAAACAAAAGACAGGGTAGAGGCAAGGGTGGTTGCTTACCAGCTGTCAGAATACATTTAGTGATCAAAGCAAGCTGGTAATGATACAGAAATAGATAAAGTGATCAATGGAATAGAATATAGAAACCGATAAAATTTACATGGAAACAATATCTAATGAAGGTCATATTTGTAATTATGAGGAAAAGAAAGATTATTTAGCGTGTGGCCAGGTATTTAAAAAAAAAACGGTTAAGGGTCCTACTTCATACCATTCACCAAAATTTCAGATGGATTAAATAACTAAACGTGAAAAACAAGATGAGTTTATTAGAAGAAAAAATGGGTTATATTTGTGACCTTGGAGTAGAGAAGGCCTTCTTAAAACACAAAAGGCGTATGCCATAATTTTATAAGGAGAATGTAAGTGTGTTAAGAATGACTAAAAGCAAGCCGGGCGTGGTGATGCATGCCTGTAGTCCCAGCTACTCAGGAGGCCGAGGTGGGGGGATTGCTTGAGCCTTGGAGTTTGACACCAGCCTGGGCAACATGGTGAGACCCCATCTCTTTAAAAAAATGAATTAGTAAAAATAAAGCCAAAACATGTATAGATATCAAAAGCAGAAAAAAAACCCATTGGGCAATTGCCATGAACATTTTGACATATTCCATCGAGGTTATTTTTTCTATGTATTTTTTTAGTGTTTCTGATCTTTTTTATGTGATTTAAGTCACATTTGCTTGTTTAAACAACCAATTCTAGTCCGGGTATGGTGGCTCACGCCTGTAATCCCAGCACTTTGGGAAGCCAAGGCCAGTGGATCAGTTGAGCTCACAAGTTTGAGTCCAGCCTGGGCAACACGGTGAAACCCCATCTCTACACAATTTCGCTGGGCATCGTATTGCATTCCTGAAGTCCCAGCTACTTAGGAAGCTGAGGTCGGGGGATGGTTTGAGCCCAGGAGGCAGAGGTTGCAGTGAGCTGAGTTCACACAACTGTACTCCAGCCTGGGCGATAGAGCCAGACCTGGTCTCAAAACACCACCACCACCAACAAATCCTGAAGGTTAAAAAAAGTAAAAATCCTCTTCTTGCAAGGTCACTCCTTTGCACAGCTTGGTGAGCATACGTCCAGATTATTTTTTTTCACCTATGTTACTTAAACATATAGGGATGTATTTTAAAGGCATTGTCATTGTATGCATTTCAAAGCATGATCACTCTCAAGGTTGAGAAGTCTCTTTTTTTTTTCAGTCACCATGTGTCAGACACTGTATGTATTTTATATTTTCTCATTTAATCCGCATAGTCGACTGTGACAGAGCTCCGATGCGTCCTGGTTTCTCCATCTGTGAGATGGAGGAGAAAATAAGGGCCACTCTGCAGACTTTTGTGATCAAGTGGGACATTGCCTACAAGGCACTTATGGACAGAGCCTGGCAGGAAGTGAGCACTCATTACATGTCTT